AAAAGTAGATATACTTTACGTATTCACCGCGCAATCTTTATACACGATCCTTTTTTTTCGTCGCGATGACATTTTTAAGATTTAATTTAATTTAATCTATTTCTCATACGGTATTATTCTCTAATCCATCGCTCGATAATAACTTGTAGCACCGTCTCGTTCGCAATCACTTAGAAAAAGAGCAGTTTTGGCCAACAAATAGTTTAACGAACTTACGCCGCTAACTAATTTTTTTTTCTTTCTCGGGACAAAGCTAACGCTCGCTCCAAACTAATGATCTGTTCGATTATAAACTTGCAGTTGACAAATATAACAATATTAAATATCTATTAAATAATAAAAATCTCGAGTCGTTAAGAGGCCCAGTGTAACAACTGGCGCGAAATCTAATCTTATCCGGCTGGAATTTTGCGAGATCCTCCTCAGCATAAAACTTGCATCGGCGTACTCGGCCCAAAAATGTGCCCGTTTAAGGACACGCGCGTGTAATACTTGAAGTTACCTACTCGAACAGAGAAGAATGTCTCCCCTCGCGCGCTGTCACAATGTTTCTCAAACGATGCGAATGCCCAAAGAATGCTCGATACGCCTTTCAGAGGCATTTAAAAAGGTGTTCCCAAAGAAAAAAAATATATATATATATATATGTTCTTTAGATACGCAAAAGATGAAGGAGACCTTCATATATCTAGATCTACAAAAGACCACTCGTGCTACGTCAGATAAGAATTAAGTCCTTATTTAAATGTCTTGATCGCGTCTTTTGGGCAGTCGCATTATCTGGATCCGTTGCTCTTTAGATAAGATTTTCCGGTAGCAACGATGTTTGAAGCTTCCCTTCGTATAAAGTATCATTCATGGGCGTCAACTTCGTTATCGATACGACTGCTACGTATGCCGGTTTTGCCTGTCCAAGGATAAATGTCCGGGCACGCCTGACAGGTTTTCATGTATCTCACGCCGCTTTTGTGCCATAAATTGCAGACCTTTGGGTTGTTGCACTTCTTAGGTCGGTCCTGCAGTAATAAGCGTGACATAATGGAGTTTTTAGGGTATTCAAGAGTCAATCGTTAGGATTATCTTAAATACATATTTAAGATTTCATAAATAGGTCACAGATATTAATATCTTAAGATGTTATCTTAAAATATTATTTAAGATAGTCTTGAAATGAGAATGAATTATGAATTCTTCTTTTAGATTGCAAAACAAAATGAATTCTAGATTAGTTGTCATTATTGTTCTAAAAAACAGATTTTAAAAATTTACAAGTTTAATAATGCATATTTTCAAGCTTGAAAAATTATTATTTTGTAATTTCAAATTATTAATATGATTTATAACTACAGTTATCAAGGTATGTATAAATTTAATATTCTAATTTGAAAAATATAATGAAAAATAATATTTTATCAAATTTATAAAATTATTTGTAAGTTTGTAAGAATTAATGACGAGTTGATTGTGAGAAATCTCACCGGATAATGGCATCCAAAGGGTTCAAACGTGTGCAGAAGTGCCAGAGGCGTTGGATTCCTGATCCATTGTATGGCCTGCCAATTTGTAATTATCCATACGTCATCCATTGCGACGATGGTGTCAAGAAATGATATAAAGCCTTCTTTGTGATGCGGCTGAGTAAACCATGCAGCATGATAGAACAGACCGAAAGGCGCCCTATGAACGTGCATCAAATTATATATTTCAAAATGTTAAATAATATTTTACAAAATTTTATAAATAAATTCGATTTTGACGAAATAAATTTTTTTTCTATTTGAATAACTATTTTCTATAGTTTAAAATTCTTACTGTAATTTATTGCAGACATTATTGAATTACGATGTCAAAAGCAAAAAAACACATGAAAATTCTTGCAAAATAAATACATTACAAAGTACATATAATACATACAAAGTAGAAATATTTTTTTAATAAAGTAATATTTGCAATCACACGACAAAGATTAAATTATAATCCTATTTTTTTATTACAAGTAATATTCATGTTTTCTTTTATTATCAGATTTTATTAATAGATATATAGTTATTTATTGATTATTGGATCAAAAAAATTTTTCAATATATTTTATAAGTATTCTTCAATTATAAGCATTTTTTGTATGAATCTTTATTATATATTTTTTTCTTCTGACGTCATCAATTCAGAGATATCAGCGGGGAATGATCGGAAGTCTTATATCTTATATTTTATATAAAAAAATTAAAAATCGAAAACTGTGTATAAAAAAGATAACCAGAGAAATGTGAAGATTTAAAAAAATTTATTTTATGACTTTTTTTGTAATCGATATATAATCGATATGCACGTAGCGCAGATTACTTTACTGACCTATTAGTCGTATAATGCCTCTCGAAGTTCTTAATGAGCATCTTGTATACGCCGTCTGGTGTCGGTGGGTTACTGCAGGCATCTCCCATGGAACATCTACCTCCATTGAGATCTTGCCACATTACCATAGGAACTTCCCACAATCCTGGATAGGATCTCGTGGGACAAGGCGGTATCATACAGTCGTGGAAGAGTTTGTAATCCAACGTGTACGGCCAACTGGGTGGTCGGTTCTCATAGATGGGCATAGAGGAATCATACGTAAAGTTTGTGTCCCAGAGCATTTTAAACATGTTGTTTCCTCCGACCTGCACCGCAAAAACAACGTTATACAGCCATAGTTTGCTCATTTCACTGACGAGTGATGACATTTTTTACGATAGAAATAATTTTTTGTTGAAAAGTATCGTTCTCAGATCATCATTATTATTTTTATATATTTCTCGAGTTAAAATAAAAAGTTAATTACCGATAAGAAGGGGGCTCTCATTCCTCTGACATCCTCCAACTTGACACCACCGTACGCCGACAGAATTTCGCGCTGCCCAGCAACTTCTCGCGCCCACTTTCGCGCCGAAAATTGCTCACCGAAACTGTGCCTGTTTACGAGAATTTACCGTCATGTCGATTACTCAAGTCGTGAAGAATTAACTCTCACATGGCACAGTGATTCTGAAGTGGTTGACGACACGGTCGGAAACACCGTTTTTTTTTTTTCTTTTTATTTCGAGTTTACATAAGCACACGCCTCTCGTTAGGCCGTCACTTTTGTAAAACGATGATATCGACAGCTGACGCACAAAAGATGGAAATGATTTCGCAAGAATTGAATGAGCATGGTTGTTATGTCATTATGTTACGTGCGTTATGCGCCTCTTATACTTACGTATCTTTTATAAGCGTCACGCGAAAGCAAAATATAGGATAAAAATTCAATCCGATAAAAATTTCCGAACGTGTGTCGAATGTCACTTCGATTATTCAACGTTTAAAGCGAAAGCGACTCGGTCTGTTGATACAATAAGCGTGAGTATGATTTATTAACTTTCTCATTAGCGAAACAAGTTAGCGTTAGTTTCAGGACCAAATGAGAAAAAGGCGATAACTGCTTGTCGCCTTCAATGATTTTAATTAATTTACACTCATTCGCGCGTAGGATTAGTGAGTTGATGAGACGAATGATTGTCGAATGAGGATGATTGCTCGAAGTTGAATCGCGTTATTTTACAAACAAGAATAATATGAAAATTTTAGTAAATAACTACTATTCTTATATATCTTTATTCGCAATGTTATTATGATTAATGAACATAGATAGACATAATTTAAAAAAAACATTTAATTCTAGATATTCAATTGATCAGTTCAGTTAATCCATAATCAATATCAAAATATCTTTTAATATCAATTAATATTTTTGTTAACTACTTGAATAATCCAATAATATGTAATAAAATAATTGCGAGAGAGATATCAAACGCGGAAGATTGAAAAAGTCTCTCATGTGGAGATATGTAGGACAAATTATTGTAGCAGACATATTAGCAACGAGATTACGTAATCTATCGCGAGGATCGTTGTCGAATAAAATAGAAATAAAATAGAAAGTCACGTGCTACTTCCCTTGCCCTCTAGCGAAAATCGATCCGTCTTAATAACGGGATGGGATTACTTACGAGACTGTGTGGGAAGCAATCTCGTGGCCCGAGGCATAGAGATTTTGAACCTGGCTGTAGTCGGTCCACTCGTGGGACACGTAGAAAGTGGCCGAGATGGGACAGCCGTTGGGGTTCTTTCGTCCCTTCTCGAACAAATCGGCGTAGAGGCCCTTGTTCAGATCGTTCACGGAATCGTCGAAGGTCAGGAGAACGATTTGCGGTATTTCCTCCGGTAAATAGTCACCTGTTTCGTTTCAGGGAAATGGATGGGACACGAGAGAATTGGGATCCGCGCGTTCGAGATCGATGTTGAAACATGTGTGTGAATTGTTTTGTTTTTTTTTTTTTTTACTAGATGTAAGTATCGATGTGAAGAAGTTTTTTTGAATAGGTTTTTTTTTATTTTTTGATATGGCGTGATGTGTGTGAAGATGTATCGGTTAGAGTGGCGCGTGATGGGAATGAGGAACACGGCGAGGCGTGAAAAAGAGAGTAAGAGCAAGAGAAAAAGAACACACAAGGCGTTAGTACACGCGTCATTAGTACACACGACACAGGCGTGTCGTACGCGCCCGGTGAAACTGCAGTTTACCGGTGTGTTACTATCAGACCTCGCGATCCCTCATTCGAGAGACCGTCGATCTCCTATTTGATCAGGATACACTCGCGGTTTCACCGGGTGGCAATTTGCGTTTTCATCGTTCCCCACGGAGGATCCTCTA